TATCAGATATGTACATGGAATCTAAGCCTTTCAACTCGCCGATTTAAAATGATCTCAGAGGCACTTATTTTCTTAACCTGGCTGCTCGTTTGTTCTTTATTGGTGAAAAAGATAAAAAAGTGCAACTTCCTTTGCTATTTCAGACGGTTACAGTGGCCTATAGCACCTAGACATTATAGCAAAGTGCCTAACACATTAGCCTATAGCACCTAGACATTATAGCAAAGTGCCTAACACATTAGCCTATAGCACCTAGACATTATAGCAAAGTGCCTAACACATTAGCCTATAGCACCTAGACATTATAGCAAAGTGCCTAACATTATTATTTCCATAAAGTTGTGTGATAGTATATCGTTTAATAGCATTCAATACAACAACTTTACGTAATTGAGTTACAATAATACCAACTACGGCATTCTTAGATTTCGTTATCATCGTATCCCAAATAATAGGGACCAAATTAAAGTGGACTGCAGCTATAAATTTAATATGGTTATCAAATTTTTTTTTAAATTATTTTTTTTTAACAAAGCTTATTTTTTTACTTACTATAATTTTATTTTATACAGATTACAATATTTGCACGCAAATGCAACTAAATGTTAAATGAACAAATTTTTGAATCATGTGCTGTTATAACATACTTACATAATAGTTACTGAAATTCTATTAAGCATTTTTTTCTAGTATAAATTATTTAACATGACGTATAAATGAATTTGGAATTAAACAAATAATTAATATATTAGACTTTCGTTATATTTTCTTAAATTATGTTTTGTATTTTCAATCTAAAAAGTGTTTCTAATGTAATGTTTGTGTAAATATGTTTGTGAGAAAAGCCTCAACTCTGTGGTGCCATACATGTTTTCTGTATTGAGAAAAAAAAGGTAGACTTACTGTGTGTTCTTTTTTTCTTTGGATTCTAGTATTGCGTTCAGTTTTATGGCTCTGTCTACATCTACTGGGTGAACCCTACCTGCTTGTATGATTTGTTTAGGCGTAGATTTTGTCTGTAACATTGTGTTGCATGTCACATATAAATGGTGTTCTGCCTCTTCAATCAGCCATTGTCCTGCAGAAAGGACATTATGTGTTCCTACCTCTGTCCTACTTTGTTCCTGATGAGACGGGTGTCTTATTGTATATAAGTATATATGTTATGTCTTTGTCTTTATTTCCAATTTCTTTAACATGTTAATTTCAATGCACTTTAGGTGATTATTGTTCCATAAATATGTGTCCATGTTATTCAATTGTAGAGTGGTGTTCCTTGTCTTTTTATTAAATTTGTGTACATGTCTTTGCTTTTTTTGTGTATAAGTGTTTCGTTGCCTTTTAATGCTTTGATATATGCCATGTGAAATTCTGATTGGGTACTCCAATTTTAATTCACCCACAATTTAATGTGATTCACAATTCCACATGATTTCACATTTTTACTAAAACACATCACTATTCCAAAAAAAACCCAAAACAAATGTTCTTTTGCATTTAAACATATTTACTTCTTTTAGAGTCCTGCACTCCTGTGGTGGCCAAATTTGAACAATATCATCTTCATCGTCTAGAATGGCGCTGAATATATTCAAACCATTTTCTTTATCAAGTGGACGCAAAATGAACCCCAACACATATAAGAATTGAGCATATGTCGGTGTGTGCCATTGTATCTCTCTTTTGACAATTTCCACGTATGTTCGGTGCGTTTAGTATTGACATTCTGTTAGCTTTGCGTTTGTTAGCACATCGTCTCACAGCACGTTATAATACCGCGTTGTTTTAGAAACAGGCTACAACTGACTTTATTGTGAATTATTGCAGAAATTGTCAAATATTTCATGCTGTCTACAGAAACAGTTGTATTTATTAAATCGGATAGAACTGCATAGATATAAAATAGCAGTAATGAAAATTGTTGCGGTGAATTAAAATTGAAGTACCTCTGATTGTTTTCTTCCTATGTAATGTGTTGTGCAGTTGTCAATGTTTATTAACTTTCCTAACCTTATTCCAATGTCATAATGTGTAAATATGTTGTCATCTTTCATCTTGTGCTCTAAATCTAATTCTAAGTGCCTGTAGTTATGTTAGTATATCTTGTAAATCAATCCCCCTTCTAAATTAGATTGGATTAATTTTGAATTTTTATGCTTTGTATTGTTCCTTGAAATATTTGATTGATGATGTGTCAGTTGATTTACTTTAAATTTGTTGGTGGTTGCCCCCATATGTTACCTATTTACATTGTTTTGGTAATTACATATCATTATTTTGTGTTTGTGCTTCTGTAAACAAATGTGTGTGCTGTGTATTGGTGCCTGTAAATATTGTTTTTAGAGGGTGTTTTGTCTAGGGCTCCAGCTTTACCAACGTGTTTTGTCTAGGGCTCCAGCTTTACCAACGTGTTTTGTCTAGGGCTCCAGCTTTACCAACGTGTTTTGTCTAGGGCTCCAGCTTTACCAACGTGTTTTGTCTAGGGCTCCAGCTTTACCAACGTGTTTTGTCTAGGGCTCCAGCTTTACCAACGTGTTTTGTCTAGGGCTCCAGTTTTACCAACGTGTTTTGTCTAGGGCTCCAGCTTTACCAACGTGTTTTGTCTAGGGCTCCAGCTTTACCAACGTGTTTTGTCTAGGGCTCCAGTTTTACCAACGTGTTTTGTCTAGGGCTTCAGCTTTACCAACGTGTTTTGTCTAGGGCTCCAGTTTTACCAACGTGTTTTGTCTAGGGCTCCAGCTTTACCAACGTGTTTTGTCTAGGGCTCCAGCTTTACCAACGTGTTTTGTCTAGGGCTTCAGCTTTACCAACGTGTTTTGTCTAGGGCTCCAGTTTTACCAACGTGTTTTAATGAAAACATAGGGACCACTTAACATCACAGCATATTCTTTGCTGTTATCTCAAATGCCTGGACTAGTGGCGGCCTTGAATTAGTCATGATAACACCAATACCACTTGGTGTGTGACAATAAGTATCTCTGATGTGTTCAGCTTCCTCTTCAAAACCACCCCCCTCCCCCACTCAACCAAATCCACATGTTATAGATTAAAAGAACTAAGTGGAACTACATGCGTGAAGTCTTAACGCTGGTAAACAGGATTTATTTTGTTTTCTTTCGTGGTAGGCGACTATTTCAAATGTTATAACAGGGAAACAACCCAGTAGAATTACCCCGTGATAAAGACTGACCAAGGGACCATAATCACACGTAGTCCACAGTCCGTGCACAAAATAGGAATACAATTTATTGGGGAGGGGGGCGGCAGTGATAAGGATTGGAGTGGGGGGGGGGGGACGACAAATTAACGGTTTTCAGAATCCCGTTCTAAAGCAATTTTTCTTTGGTCATTAAGATTTACTCCAGCCTGCTCTGCACGGCACGGTCACCTTGACATTAGGGGGGGGGGGGGACGACAAATTAACGGTTTTCAGAATCCCGTTCTAAAGCAATTTTTCTTTGGTCATTAAGATTTACTCCAGCCTGCTCTGCACGGCACGGTCACCTTGACATTATATTCGATAAGTTCGAAAGCGTCAGTTTAATGTTTGAATGGTTTTCAACTGGCCGTTGATAATAATGATGATGATGAAGATGGACGCCATATTAAAAGTAAGAGCTCTCATTTTCGACCAGAGTAGCGAGTTTAAAATTGTTTCTTATACAACGCCTATTGTGTACTGGTAACAGGTGTACAAAGCAACCAGTGCCCGACGTTGTTTTCAGTTATGAGATGAACCAAGTATGATTGGTTGGCGTCACATCAGAAGTGGACTGACTCCGCGTTACAATAGAGCGTGTGTATTAAATCTTAAGTGGCATTTCTTTTTTTTCCCCGTTACAGCTCGTGCACTTGAGATCGTCGCCGCTATTGTGGGATATCCTGAAGAATGGCACACAATTAAGAGAAGGCAACACAGGATATTTATGTTCAAGCATCTACTTTCTTTAATAACCTAACTTGAAAGACCACAAATAAGAGTTTAAAATCTTATATTAATGTAATAGCTAAAAAAAAAATATGAGTTTTAAATGGAATATTTATTCGTTTAAAAAATTCTCAAACAGCGTCCAAATTATTCAAAAAATTGGTTTTTAAAAATATTATTTGTTTCATGAATCATCTGTATGCAGTGCGCCATTTTTAGTTATCCCAGTGGGTTCAAGTAACTTGGTTTGTAGTTGACAATGTATAGTCTATGTTGGACACACTCCTGTAGATGGAAAATTCATCGAATGTATCATTGTTTAAAGATCAGTCACACGAATTTCAACATGACTTATAATTTTTTTGACCGCCATTGGCCCATTATTTGACATTCGAAATGGAACTAGAATTCATTTTTAAATCCTTTATATTAACTTCGCTTTTGTTCGTTGCTGGCTTCTTCTTCGGACGGCTAATTGATCCACTTCCAGGCCAACTATCAAGCTACAAATTGGCGCATAGATTCGTCGCCGATTTTAACACATTCTATCAAAGTTGCAGCCCCACCCCTTACCCCAGATAATCCATTTTCCCAATTTTTTTTTCAAGAGGGAGATAAAATAAAATTCTCGATAACCGCACTAAATGAGATTCTTTTTAAACACTTAGGATTCGTATAGTTCGTTAGTTGTATCCATTTTTTTTTCCAAATTTTTCGCCCCCAACTTCTATTGCTCGATACTACATTTTATAAATGATTTAAATGAAAAACTTTTTTTTTTTTTTAAATTATATTTTGAAGTAGCGTTTGTGTCTAGAGATATACAAAAAGTGTCTTCATCACTATTTGATCTGACCAGATAAGGATCGTTTACTTGGGCGATGGTGTGATTAAGATTACATTCTTCAAAACGAAAAATCATTAACTAGTTTAAACTGAATTATTCAAAAAATACGATTTTGTTTAAATTAAACACCCACTTCTTAACATAGGCGTATCTGTTTCATCCTTTTAATGTACAACATGTACGTTAACTATACATCTTTTATTATGCATAAAACAACTGACCCTCAAAGCATCGGCGTCCCCGTATATGTTGCTGAGGTCGTTGTAGGTCATGGTCGACTCGTGGAGAGTGTGTGTAGAAATCAGATGGTAGATCTCTTCCTATAGACAATAACAATTGAATATTGTGCCTTTTTTTTAATTATAAAAGTAACACAAAATATTTACACATCTAAAGAAATGCTATTTTTGTATACAAATAACAAAAAAAAATAATAAAAGAAATAAAAATATATATGAAGAAAATATTTTTTTTCTGAAGGTATTGACTTGCAACTATTTGAACAGAGTAAGGGCATGGAGTAAAGCCAGGAAGCGTAACTTCGATAAAGTCAAACCTACAGTGATGACGTGGACTTTGTTGGTATCCTCCAGGTCCTTCTCCCAGTCTGGTGTCACTTCGATCAGATGGCACGCCCTGTCTCCCGAGACGTCGCTGATGGCAACAAGGAGATGGTAGCCAGCCTGCGGAAACATGTGAAATTTCTTACATGTGAACTTGCTTGCATATGAAGTTGCTTACATGTGAAATTGCTTACTTGTCAACTTTAATTATACAGATGACGAAATTCATAACCTTAATGGAAAGTGAGTAGCAGTAATGACTGAATTGGTTTTTAAAATTTTTTTAAAATATTTTAATTTAAAGCGAGATTCATCATTCATTTGAGAAATCTCCCACTGTCAGTCCGTCTGTGTCCCCTTAACTTATTTGTTCCCCTTAGAACAGTGGTCCTCAACCTTCCAAATGCCACGACCATTTAAAACAGTCCAAAAGGTTGTGGTGACCCCCAACAATAAAATTATGTTCATTGCTGCTTCATAAATATGTTTTTTTCCGATGCTCTTAAACAGCCCCTGTGTAAGGGTCATTTTACCCCCCAAAGACGCCGTGACCCACAGGTTGAGAACCGCTGCCTTAGAACATGGTTGACGATTTGCATAAGATTATAGAAACATATTAATTTTAATTATAATCTGTAACCAAGAATATTACTTGTTGTCGAGTACTTGCAATAGTTTCAAAAGTGGTCGTGTATGTAATTCTAAGAGATCCCACTACATCATGGGACAACTGGTCACGGGGCAAGCTTACCATCAGCTATTTCACTTACTGCTGAAATTTAGTTTTGATTTACAGCATATACCGGAGCTTTTCAAATCTTTCCAAGTAGGGATTATCCCCACTGAAGCATTGACCGGAGCCAAACTATTTAATTTTGTCTTTCCGTTTCATAAATGTTTAACCTTTTTTGTGAAACTGCGCTTACAGACTTGCGGACCCCTCTCTGTGGTCAACCACTTTGTGTATAGTTTGTACGATTTCTTGGTGCTATCTACTGTACAATTAATAACTCGTCCAGCAGATTTTTTAGAATATTTTATTTTATTTTAAAATCCTTAAAACCTCTTAGTGTGAATTTTTTTTAGTTTTAAGGCGCTCTGTTGTTCAGAATACACTGCGCAAACTATAAGATGATGAGTGCTGATCTCAAGAGTAGCTATTTATAAACATATGGACTGCACGTGACTTACGTTGGTATCGTGTTCCTCGAATCTGTAGTTATGGACGAAATCGATGCTGAAGTCGTTCTTGTTCGTGTTGAACCAGTCCCTGAAGTTTTGCAAGATGTTGATGCCGAGTTGGGCCTGTGTGTATCGTACCAACAAATTTTTGTATCGTTTTAATATGTTTAAACGAATATGACATTGTATTTATATAGAGTAAGTTTAAAGCATTCCAGTCTTAAAATATTGTTTCCTATAAAAATCAATGTCAACCCTTTGAAGTGTGTTAGCTATTTATAATATTTACACAAATGAAATATATTTAAAGAAAAACTATACTCTATCTTTATCTTGCAAATTATTATATATGTGCTTTGTTTAAAATTGAACTCTTCAATTTGTCACGTCTATGTAAATACTTATGTGATTGATACATTAGTAAGGTGCGTCATTGGCCAAACAAAAAAAAACACACACACACTGCCTTCACCCATGATGAATTGTGTAAGCAGCTCAGACATTAAGCAGAAGTTTACCGTGAAGTGTCTGTGACCATGTTTCTGACTCGCATGTAGCTTTTTTTATCGTCTACCTCCCCACAAAGCAGTAAGGGGACTCTAGGAACCCCAGTGCCATTTTTCAGTTTTTATGCCCAAGAATTCAAAGTTAATCATTTACAAAGTTTGACATGACAACCTTTGGTCCCTTTAAGATCCGAGGAAGTCTAAATTCGCAACGGTGACAGCCAGGGCCCACGTGACCTCTCTTCTTCCCCAACGCGGAGAGTCGTGGATCGATCCGAATGGAAAGATGTGTTGGAGCAGGCCGGGGCCCTACATGGCCTGTAGCACCACTGATAATGATGATTACGGACAGTTATGATATAAGTTTCATACAATGGCATAAGGAGGGGCTGCTGAGAGGGCTGTCCACCCCGGTTGGCATTGTTTCCCCTTTATAATGGGTTGCAATTTCGGCCAAAAATTGCGAACTTTTTTCGTGGAAGGCTTGGTGAAAAAGCTTGACCCGCCCCGGGTGGCACTTATCCTAACTACGCCACAGATTGTATATCATTATCAAAACTCACCGAAGCCACGGCAAAGAGACACGCAACTATTAAACAACGCATTGCTGTTTAGATCTGTGAGAGGTTAGCCACTTGTTGCATGAGGATAAATGACGAATAGAATGCGTTGGTTCTTTTATAAGATCCCGAGATAAGGGAATAAGAACTTACGCACTTAGCATTAATCGTGGCTCTTATAGATTTTTTTTTAAAAAGCAGACTTTCACATTGAGCTTTAACTTAGGTCGTGATCTTTGAGGTCATGTTCATACTGACTTCATTCAATTAAGAGCAGTAAATATATCATCCAAAAAGTTTGTTTAAAAATGTAAATACATTGCATGTTCAATAGCCTCGTTTAAATGGAATAGTTTTGTTAATGTAGCGTAGTTAGACTTTTTATTTTTTCAATTGCTATTTACTAAAAGATTTCGAACAATAAGTTTATTTTGGAACTTCATCCTATTTTTAATGACTAGGCCTACGTTTTTATTTATTATCCCCACTACACAGGTCTGCCGGTAACATAGTTAACTTTTCAAGGGATCTGCGTGATTTAACTTTGAAAAAAAAAAAAAAATTTCAAGCTTTTTAAAACGTTTCCTTTAATTCTTGCACTATGACTTGATAGCTTGAATCGAAAAATAGCCGGTCAAATCAGATAAAAGACTTATCTCAAAACGTTAATGGAACAAACCGAAACATTAGGCACCTGTTAGTTTCCCCAGAACCATTAGCCAACTTTACAAGAATAAAACTGTTAATAGCATAACAGAATCTCTTTTGAAGGAGTTACCAGACTGTGGCGTTGGAGAAGCAGTTTATTGGTGCTTGTAAAGAGGGAGTTTACAGTGCCCGACTTTATGTCTAATTTAGGCACTGATCGATGCCCTGCTAACCTTAGACCTAATTTAGGCACTGATAGATGCCCTGCTAACCTTAGACCTAATTTAGGCACTGATAGATGCCCTGCTAACCTTAGACCTAATTTAGGCACTGATAGATGCCCTGCTAACCTTATACCTAATTTAGGCACTGATAAGATGTCCTGCTAACCTTATACCTAATTTAGGCACTGATAGATGCCCTTCTAACCTTATGCCTAATTTAGACGCTGAGCAATGCCCTGTCCACCTTATGCCTAAATGAGGCATTGATAGATGCCCTGCCCAACTTATGCCGAATTTAGACACTGATAGATGACTTGTTCCCTTTCTTTATTGAAACTGTCTTAAAGAAAATATGATAATAACGCTTTACCTGCCCCAAATGCTTTTCCTAACATTACTGGCGTAGGTAAGAGAGAAATAAGGGGCCTCAGTTGCTATATTTTTTATTGTCCAGGGCCGCCGATCCTGTTAAGACGGCCCTATGCAGTTAGGCTAACAGGGCCCCCGATCCTGTTAAGATGGCCCTGTGCAGTTAGGCTATCAGGAGGGGAAAACATGATTGCACTTTAAACGGCACTAGTTTGGGGATATAAAGAATAGTGTATGCTAATAAAAGACGTCATTTTTTTCAAATACTTGCCCCATATGATTTAACTGGTTGATGATTTCAACTGGCCACTTCCCTATTTACAGCATTAATTGCACACAGTGCTTTAAAAAATGTCCCGTGTGCCTAATTAACAATAAACAAAAATGTGGAAACCATAGATCTGAACCTCCGGGAATATGATTTTTGCTCTACAAACATAACAATGTTATCTTCTTTAAAATACCTCGTTTTGCTATTTCATGTATCTTCTATAATCAGTGTTGCTTTAAAATTAAAAAATTTAAAGCAACAAAATGAAATCTGTGGGGCATAAAAACAAACCAGATCAGCGAAAAGAAGTGTAGGATAAAGTCATGACGTCACATTCACAGAAAAGCTAGAACCAAAAGTTTTCTAAATTCTAGTAAGGTATTAACGAAACTTGCCCAGAATCCTGATTAGACTTTGAAAATGTTATTATGTAGTTTAACGATTATTAAGGCCGACTTATTCTTCCTTACTCATCATACCCATGTCCATATTGTTCGTCCACAAATTACGGCCTCATATTTCAACAAATATGAACAACTATTATGAATATGATAAATTGCGATTCATTTCCAAGGCACGCAAAGAGACTGAAATAAAAAAGATTTGCAGATAACTCGGACTCCCTTAACGCAATAAAAATTATACAATAATATATTTATATATTTATATATTTTAACAACTATTAAACTTTTGTAAACAGTAATAACTTATGAATTGAATGTAGATTAAGTGAAATTCTCAGCAGATAAGATAAGGCATGACAAGCTTTACGTTTTATATTATTGTCATACATATAAGGTCTATTATTCAAGTTAACATTAGATTCTTAAGACAACGTTTTTTTTTTTTTTTTGAAACGCATCTCACTCTTCAGGAAAAACAGGCTAATTAAATAATAAAAATTTTTATTTTGAGGTTTGGGAAATTAAAATTTTTAAAACTGTATCCTTACATTTAAAAATTGTCATACATATAAGGTCTATTATTCAAGTTAACATTAGATTCTTAAGACAACGTTTTTTTTTTTTTTTTTTGAAACGCATCTCACTCTTCAGGAAAGACAGGCTAATTAAATAATAAGAATTTTTATTTTGAGGTTTGGGAAATTAAAATTGTTAAAACTGTATCCGTACATTTAAACACACCAGTAGATTATCCAAACTTTGGACTTTCCATACAACAAAATCGCGCGACGAATTGCATGAGCAAAATGCATGCATAAAAAAAAAGCTGCATTAGCAAGAATCAAACACATATCAGCGGCTGAAGCTGATGTATCAGCAATTACCTTTGCACTACTTTTATTTAACATATTTATACGTGAGCAGTGTATACAGTTACTGAAAGATTTCATTGGCATTAGCTTAATTAAGGGAACTAAGTAGCAGGTTAACACTGACACCTTGGCGTATCTGTGATATTGATCTGAGATTGTTTGATTTATTTTAAACACTTTAACTTTAAGTTGGTTTTCCTAAAGTTTTCCTCAGCTAGTAGGAACAACTATACTAGACTTCTAAAACTAAAATCACCAGCCCTTAAAATATTACGTTTTTTGCTTTCGTTTATAATTTTTTATTTTTTAAATTTTTGTGGTGTAACTCTTGTACGTCATATGTTAATAATGATCATGGTTTGATTATTTCAGCTGGATCTTTTGGAAAGCAAAACAACTTACTGCTTCCGGTTATATGTAATTTTGAAGTGAAAATTAAGTGTGATCATAAACTTTAATGATAGTGTTCTAAATTCACAAATAACAGACGAAAATGCCGCGTATAATGATTAAAGGTGGTGTTTGGAGAAACACCGAGGTAAGTTTATTGCCTTAACACTTTGCACAAGTTATTAGATACATAATTATAAACATGTAGTATTGGCCAACAAATCACATGTTATCGATAACTTAAAAATTGTTCAATCTAAATGAGACGTAATACTAATATTTTTTTTTTTAAAGCTAATAAATAATCATTACAACAATGAGTACAATAAATGAAATTAATTAAATTCAAGGAAATGGATAATAAAGCCTAAGCTTCTGTTATTCATGGACCTTTTAAAAAAAAACACGCTCTGCCGACATTGAACTAACTAACTAACTTAAATTATTTCTGGTTTCTGAAAAAAAAAAATCATTACTAATTTTGGCTATCTATTGAGTACTAACTATCAATCTATCTTATTTATAATAGAACCATCATAGGCATATTATTCATTATACTACTCTATGGGACCAATCTTAGAGTCACTTTTACTTCATAGTGATAGTCATAGTCAAAGACACCTAATTAAAACTAATTAGCCTAATTATTATTAGTGTAGACTAATGAAAAATTGTAAAAGTAAATGAAAATTACTAAGTATGGGGAGTTATTCAGTTACTATTCCATCTCTGTAGATTTCACAAGAATTATTATTGATAAGTAAGACTTTTTTAAGGGTGTAAGTGTAAGGGCAGTAAGGCATTTTGTTAAACCTAATGACTGAGTAGTAATATAATTAGAATAATAATAACTGTTAATAAGACTTACAACTTACATTGAGAGTGTAATTGTAATACTCTAGAAGGGATGATAATTGTTATGGCATAGGTAGCCTAAAATTTTATTCAATGCTACTACAGCACTGGCTACTTAATATCTAATTACATCTTTTCACCTCCACCTCTTTGCACTTGATTGATATCATGATATGGGAGCAAAGTAAAAATATTGACTAAATATTGACCGTTGACTTCACTTTGTTGTTGTTAAACATATTAACATATTCATATACTGATTGATATTCATCTATTATTTTTAACCTATTTATGACAATTTATGTATAGCAAGGCCAAGGTCTAAAAATCCACAAACTACATTACTTTTAAAAGCTTATGACTATGGGCCGTTGTAAGGCTTTATGGTTAGCCTAAATCACCTACAATTTTTAATAAAAGAAATGTTATTTTAATCACTGACAATAATTATTAAGTAACTGTAATATAAATAAATGTCGGACAATTAACCTTAAAAGTAGTAGTTAAATTTTTATTGCAGTTTAATTATAATTCAAATTAAAACTAACGAAAACTTTAAAACATGGGCAGATTTTTTGTGTACTAGTTCAGCTAAAACAAGGGAACAGGGTATGGCTCTAAATTTTATCACTGGAGTTTATAATTGGCTATCAGGCTTTATTTCACTAAATTGGACCTATGTAAATAGGTTAAATAAAGGGAACATTTCTGAACAGTAACAGTGCTTGGACTTGAGACTTATTCAACATAGATGTAAACTAAGTCCCAACACTACTATTTTTAACTATTATCATTATTTTATTTATGGAATGACAATAATTATTATGATATATTTATTGCTTACATTGCTCAAATACAGGATGAGATACTCAAGGCAGCGGTAATGAAATATGGCAAAAATCAATGGGCTCGTATTGCATCACTCTTACACAGAAAATCTGCAAAGCAGTGTAAAGCCAGATGGTAAGGACTTTTTTAAAACAATTCAGTCCATCACACTGTTCGTTTGATTTTTAGAATATAAATTATAACACTAAAAGTGCATTTACTCTTTCCTGTTAAAGGAAAATCATAAATCCATTTCACTTATTATTTAGTTATTGTTCTTTTTAAAAGCTTAAACATTTTTACTTGTAAATCGGCCACATAATATATTTGACAATATTGGTATAATTAAATAGACATGGCAAGTATTAATATTTATAACTTATTTATAGGTATGAATGGCTGGATCCAAGTATCAAGAAGACAGAATGGAGCAGAGAAGAGGAAGAGAAGCTGCTTCATTTGGCAAAGCTTATGCCCACACAGTGGAGGACCATAGCTCCTATAATAGGCAGAACAGCAGCTCAGTGTCTGGAGCACTATGAATACCTACTGTAAGTGATCTGAGGGTGGGGAAAAATTGCAAGAATCTGTTATTAAAACCATGTATTTCAAATAAAGAATATCTATTTAAAAAAAATTATACCAAGATAATATATATAATGGCATCAAAAGGTTTCTCTGAATTGTTATATATTATATTCATGGTCTGACAAAAGTTCATATAATGTATAGATCATTTACATTTTGTGTCCTTGTTTAAAAAAATTTGATACTAGGATTAAAGCAGATCTTGTAAACAAAACATTACCATAAGCATTTACTTCATAATAAAATAGGTTTGCATATACATGTTAGTTAATTTATTATATAAATCACAGCCTGACAATTTTACTAATCTGTTCATTTATTTCAGATAATTTAAACCATTTTATCCTTAATTGAGGCTTGGTGTCTTTAAAATGTAGATTTATTAATGTTAATATTGTTTGCAGAGACAAAGCACAGAACAGAGAGGCTGATAATGAAGATGATCCCAGAAAACTTAAACCTGGAGAAATTGATCCTAATCCAGAAACTAAACCAGCTAGGCCAGACCCTGTTGACATGGATGAAGATGGTAAGAAATTTCACATGGCTAATTTATTGGATTTTATTGTAATTGTAGGGATGACTCAAGGCATTTTATTTTAGTATACAGTTTGCATTTAAAGAATTTGGTTGATATACATTATGAGGCCATGCAATTTTACCACACCAAAAAAAACATTTGATTTTTCTGTTAATTAACTGATTTCTAAAACTGATTACCTATTAAGATTTGTATAACATGAAATTTGTATAAATTATATTTTAGAGCTTGAGATGCTGTCAGAGGCCAGAGCCAGGCTTGCCAACACACAGGGTAAAAAGGCCAAAAGAAAAGCAAGAGAAAAGCAGTTGGAAGAAGCTCGGTATACAACACATTTTAATAAATTTTCCTGCTACCGTGTTTACAAAATTTTAGGATTATTGCCCTGTTGATAATTATATTAAGTCTTTAATTAGATGTGTAAACTACATGCATATCGCTCTCTTATTTCGTCTTAGTTTTATTCACTGACAACAATTATTTTGTGGATTACTTTTTAAAAAAATTGAAATTATATGTACAGAAGTTTATATTTTCTATCTTTATTGAACAGGCGACTGGCGGCTTTGCAAAAAAGAAGAGAACTCAGAGCTGCAGGAATTGCGTAAGTAATTTCTAATAACTGAAAGTTTCATTATTATTCTTTGTCCAGGGTTTGTTACAGGCAGGAAATAAGTACCACTAACTGGTGGTGCAGTTATGCTCAACAACCATTTTAAATATTTTTAGAAGAAGAATAATCATACTATATTTACTAATTTGACTACTGATCCACAGGGTGAAACAAAAACGTAGAAAGAAGAGAGGTGTGGACTATAATACAGAGATTCCATTTGAGAAGAAACCAGCCCTTGGTTTCTATGACACGGCACAAGAGATTTTTGACCCCTTAAATCCTAATTACAAGCGTTTACGGCAGCAGAATTTGGATGGTGAGCTACGTAGGGAAAAAGAAGAGGTATTTTTTTAATTGACTATTTAATATTGAAAAGCTTTCTGTCATTTCCTGAAATTCTGACACAATAAGCAAATTAGAGTATTTATGCTTTGTTTTTTTATACATAATAATTTCCTCTTATTTTTTAAATGTTATGTTTTTCAACCAAGTTTTCATTGAGTTTTTTTACAATGAAATACATATATAAACTTATGTTTACATCACGCCCACATATCAGTCAATTTTCCTTTTTTTTAGCACCCAGTAGAAAAGTTAAATTTTCTTTCAAAAAGGCACCAAGTCCAGTAAATGTTTGTACATGCTTCAACTATCTAACAGGATAAACAAGTTTTATTGCAGTCCTTACAATGAGCAAAGTTCAATAATCATAGCTAATCCCTGATAGTGTGTCTATAATTATTTGTTGCAGACTAGTCCTGATCAGGATTTGAACTGGGGCCTTGTCTCTGACACTTTTGTGTGTCTGTAATTAGTTGAAGCAGACTAGTCTTAATCAGGATTTGAAATTGGAACTTGTCGCATACATTTTTTGCCACTCAATTGAAATCTTGTTCATGATTATTTTAAATTTCAAGTCACTATTTGCTTCATGTCCTAGTGGAACTGAAACCATTTTAAATGCCACCTTTTTGTAACTTTTGTCATCAGAAAGAACGAAAGAAGGATAAATCAAAGCAAAAGAAAAGAAAGGAGAATGACTTACCAGGTGCCATTGCCAGTCAAGCAAAGTAAGTCAGGCGCAAAGAGAAGAGAAAAATATTATTTGAAATTAAAAACTTGGATATGGGAAATCATGTCAGTGATAATAATTATATGCTTGCTTGTTATAACAACTTTAATATTGAAAATAACTTCTGAAAAAATAGACCAGCCTTATTAATTTAAAAAATGGATTTTTGAAGCCATCATTGCAAATGCTTTAATCACTGTGCAAATAGTTAGGTAAACTTTTATCAGCCTTTTAATGTGTATCCTAATAGCAGGGTTTTATTTTGTGCAGCTTCCAAGAGCCAGTGAAAAAGAGGAGCAAGC